AAGCAGGGAGCCAGGGAGCCAGAGCAAGCCATGGGGGACGGCGTCCTGCCCCAGGAAATCTTCCAGATTGGTGCTCAGGTTTACTTGGGATTAAACGAGACCCCCAGGATGTACCTGTTACAGGTTGGGACTTCTTCCCGGACCAAGGCGACTGTCTGAGAATCCCAGGAGTCAGAGATGACAGTGTAGTTGGACGCTGTGGGGCACCATCCTGGCCCCCCTCAGGAATGAAGCCCTCCTTCTTCCCTCCCCACCCCCCACCCCACTGGAGAGAAGTTGCTTGTTGATGGGTCACAGCCAAGGCCTTCTCTAGAAACTGCCCTAAAATAAACAAAGCCACCTCACCTAAGGTGGCGCCCCCCTCCTGGGACAACCTGCATCCATGGCCCCGTACCCAGCCTCCACACCGCACGGCTCTGCACGGCCTCCCTGCCCGGTGCTCCCTGTGGGCCGCTGAGGCCTTCATTCTGAGCGCATTGTGCCCCGACTTCTCCTTCTGCTCGGTCTTGCTCCCCTTCCTCCCTCACAGGTGTCGATCCTGAGAACACTTCCCAGAAAGCCTCCTGCCTGCCAATCAACAGCTCAAAGTCTTTTCAAGGAAACCAACTGTCACCTCCAACTCATCATCAGAGGCTTAGAGCTGCACTTTGAGTCATTTGCCCTCCGTTGACAGTGGACTGGATGGGCTGGCCGTTTCCAGACAGCTCTTCTCCTGGGAAAACCGATTTTGGCCTGAGATTCTACTTCTCTATCATTCTGCCCACTGGTTCTACTTAGCAGTGCCTAGATTCAAGTTCTATCCTTCTGTGAGCCAGTCCTCCCTCTGACTGCAGAAAGTGATCTGACATGTCTCCTTTGAGCATGCAGCTCCTGTTCCTCCACTGTCGCTCCACTGCTCTTGTGTCTCCACCACGCGGTGCCTCTCCTTTCTCTGTGCTCAGGAGTCACCAGAACCCCTGCGGCCACATGGCATTCACTTGAGCTGTCCCTCTGCTCGGAACCACCACCACACTGACCTGCTAAATGCCACTTCCCCAGAAGGGCTCCCAACTGCTCTGTCAGGTCACCAGGTGCTGTGAACTCCACTTCATCCACATTTTTCTCGGCACGAATACTGTATCCGTGTTCATCTAATCCGTGAACATGCTAACCAGTATGTTCCTTGAGGGCAGTGCCTGGCCCCTTTTTACTCATCCTTATATTCCACTTGGGACATTTTTTTGGCTATGGGAGTCAAAAGTAAGTGGGATAGTTGTTTTTTCCATGAATACTTATTGTGAGACAGGCTTTATGCTAAGTGCTGTGGATATAAAATGAATTGGCTGGGTACGGTGGTTCATGCCTATAAATATACCAGCATTTTTGGAGGCTGAGGTGGGAGGAATGCTTGAGTTCAGGAGTTTGAGACCAGCCTGGGCAACATAGCAAGACTTCATTTCTACAAAAAAAAAAATTAGCCCCCTTTGGTGGCACACACCTGTAGTGCCAGCTCCTTGGGAGGCTGAGGTAGAAGGATCGCCTGAGACCAGGAGGTTAAGGCTGTGGTGGGCTGCGATTATGCCACTGCACTCCAGCCTGGGAAACAGAGTGAGACTCTGACTCCAAAAAAAAGACAAATCTCCTCTCTCTTTTAAACAAGAATCTTAGTACTTGCTCACAGAGCAATAGTAATGTCCACCCAGAGTGACCTAGAGGCTCTCCTCCATGTCATCCTCTATCTAGGATGCCCCGGTTGACAGAGTCTCTGCTAACTGACCATGGCCAGTGGTTATGGCAGTGGGGAAAGAGAGCATGGAGAACATGTACTGGTTCCCAGGGCTCCTGCCCAGAAATCAGACACAATTTCTGTTATTAAATTGGAGTTACTGGGCCAGGCGTGGTGGCTCAAGTCTGTGATTCCAGCACTTTGGGAGGCCGAGGCGAGAGGATTGCCTAAGCTCAGGAGTTCATGACCAGTCTGGGCAATTTGGTGAGACCTCGTCTCTACAATAAATCAAAAAATAAGCCAGGCATGGTGGCACGTGCCTGTAGTTCCAACTACTTGGAAGACTGAGACAAAAGAATCACCTGAGCCAAACAGGTTGAGGCTGCGTTGGCTGACAGCATGCCACTGTCCTCCAGCCTGGGTGACAGAGACTTCAACTCATAAAATAAAAAATAAATAAATTGGAGTTATTCACCACTCTGTGGTTATTTCCCCAATTCCTGAGTATATCATTGGCTACTTGACAACTGGCAGGATCCTCACCTCAACTCTGCTCCACTGGGGAAGGGCTACTGGGATTGGAGGGACAACGTGGAAATCTCTGGAATGTCACCTCCCTAACAAGATAGAAAGCCAGAAGCGCCAGGCTCGGTGGCTCAGCCTGTAATCCCACGCCTTTGGGAGGCTGAGGCGAGTGAATTGCCTGAGCCCACAGGTTCAAGACCCGCCTGGGCAGCGAGACCTCATCTCTACAATAAATCAAAAAAATCAGCTGGGCGTGGTGGCGCATGCCTGTAATTCCAGCTACTTAGAAGGCTAAGGCGGAAGGATCGCCGGAGCCCAGCAGGTCAAGGCTGCGGTGGCCGGGAGCGGCCACTGCACTCCAGTCTGGGCGACAGAGTGAGACTCCAACTCAAAAAAAAAAAGAAAGAAAGCCAGAAGTAGTACCATATTCCTGCGGGATTTCTAAGGTTAATGCCCTTAGAAATCAAGGACTTGAAGGATGCAGCAGTGATAATACCTATATGCCCCCACTTAACGTGCCTGTTTGGCCTGTGCAGCTGTCTGCTGGACCTTAGAGAATGACTGCAGACTTCAGCGAACCTAATCAGGTGCTGCAAAACTGCTGCTGTCGCCAGAGCAAATCAACATGACTCTGGCACCAAACACACATCTACTGACCTGGCTAATGCCTTTTTTCCCATACCAATTTGGAAGGCCCACCAAAGTTGTTTACTTTCACCTGGCAGGGCTAACAGTATACCTTCATGGTATAGCCTCAGGGCTCTATGAATTCTCCTGCTTTCTGCTGTAACGGAGCCTACAGACAAATCGACCAACCCAATAGCCCCTGAGTATCACTCTTGTCCACTACATTGATGACATTTTGACTGGATCTGATAAGCAGGAAGTAGCAAATGCTGGAGATACTTTAAAAAGACCTAAGTGAATTGAATGATGAGAGATGCATTCCCCAAAACTCAAGGCCCTCCAAGCCATGTCCAGAAGGCAGAGTAAGTTGCACAGGACACCTGGGGCCGTGCCTACCCCAGTGTCCTTGTGACCAGACGACTGAGGAAGAACTAAGTCAAGTCTGGTCCTCAGATATGTCTCCATGATGTGCTGGTGCCACCTGCAGTGAACAGCTGCACAGGGGTGGTCCTGAAGGACAATCCTTCCAAGGACTGGAACTTGCAGAACAGCTGGTTACCTACCTCGTCTGAAATGAGAAAGTACTGAGTTACATCCATGCATAGGGAGTTGCTAACAGCTTAGCTGACGTTCAAGGATTTCAAAGGAACAGGCCTAAAAGGTGAGTGACAAGATCTGGATGGAGATAAGCCTCTCGAGATGGTCACAGACTGCAAAGATAACTGTGCCCATGCTGCCTTTGTTCCCACCAGAGTATCTCGACAGAGGATGCTCTTAATCCTCAGGTGGATACCATGGCATGCCCTGTGGATGACATCAGCTTCTCTCCCCAGCCACCACACCCACGGTGAGCACCGATCTGCTGACAGACTCACACCAAGTCCCTAGAATGGCACCCTTTTCCAAGAAGAACCTGTAGCCACCTGCCTACAGACTGACTACCTTGTGCCAGGGGCTGAGGTTTGCCTCCACTGGAATAAGCCTCTATTCTGGACACAGATTTGCCTCCACTGCCACTGTCACAGCAACCCACACGGCACCGCTTCCAACCAGGGCACCCAATTCCCAGCAAAGCACATACAGCAGTGGGCTCATGTCCAGGGGACTAACTGCTCTTATATTACCCACCACCTGGAACTAGCTGGGCTTATGAAATAGTTATGTGATGGGTCTGTCTTACCAAATAAATCTTATGCTTTTAACTAGAAACCATCAGATGGTGCTGACTCCCCCCACAGCCAGAATGTACAGGTCTGGGCATCACAAATAGGTGTGAAGAATGAAGCATAATCTTCAATACTGTATACTTCATCATGCAAATCACAATTATTTTCATTCCTGTTCTGGAATACTTGAGCTTTGCTGGTTTGAACGTCTTAGACCCCACAAAGGGGGAAGCTTCTCCCAGAGGCACACAACAAAGGTTCTATTTAATCTGAAGAGATTGCTGCAGTGAAGGCAGTAATGAATCTGGAACCCAGGGGATTCTCTGAAGTCTCTTGGTGTTTCCCAGTAAAGGAAGTAAAGAACTTGCCATGTAAGTATGCCAACAAAGGCATCTGGAAAGGAGGGGGCAGAACTCTTCCAAACTTAGATGCTTCAGAAATGAAGTCCAGGCCACCTGGGAGAGCCCTGGCCAGCCGAGGTCAAGGAGAGTGTGTGGGGCAGGTGGAAGAGGTCATGGAGGCCAACTGCAGCCTCAGCCCAGTCACAGAGCTGTGCATTCCAAGGGCTGAGCATATTTTCTGCTTATTATGTGTATTTATTGACATGTTATTTTCTCATCACACAGGGAGCTTGCTATACATGTGTATTCCTATGCTAGAGCCCAGGTCTTGTAATCAAAATCTGGCAAAGATGCCTGCATTTACAGGCCCTCAGGTTGACTTTCATGCACACCCGAGTCTTAAGGTCCATGGTTGTCCTGAATTCTGCCCACAGAAGAGACACCTCTGGCAGTCAGCTCACAGAAGAGGGGACATCACAAGTGCATGGACCTCCCAACACCCAGAGAAGTCTCTGAGGCTGCAGCTCTGGCTGCTGACTCAGGCCAGGGGTGCTTTGTAAAGGTCTGCCCTGGCTGGTGTTCTCCCTCCTGCTACCCTCTCTGACTGCGTGCGATAGTAAGGGGAGGACCAGCCAGTTTTCAGAATAAAATGTAGCTTTATTATGACATAGGAAAGACTACAAGCCATTAGGGGAGAAGAAGAAAGAGTCAAACAGCTCCTCAAAATGACAGGTAAGAGGAAGATGTAAACATCTTGATAATAAAGTCTCCAACCACAGCACAATCATTGGAATTTTTTTCCTTACACTTTTTGTTTCAAAGTTGTAGTAAACAAAACAGTCACTAGAATTGTCAAAAGAACAGCAATTTTACACAATGAAAAGCATACACACCAAGCCAAAATACAAATAGCACTCGGGTATATACGTTGCAGGGGTGCCGCCACAGGAGGGAAAGTCCAGGCGCTGTTCCAATGCCCAACAGGGCCCAGGCCTACAGGACTGGAGACAGGCTGCCATGCTCCTAATACATCACCTGCCTCAAAGCACTCCCTTCAAGGATCTCAAGAGGGATGGGTCTTATGGTGGCACTGGAGTGACAGCCAGCATCTCAGAAGTACAGGCTATTTTTAATACACTAGTGTGAATGTGCATGAGGGTGACTCTTGTGATAACACCTACACGGGGGTTACCAGGAAATGGAAAAAACATTTTCCTGATGTTAATAACTGGATTATGAACTAAAGGAGAGATTCCCAAACCCATCCTGTAAATATATGTTTTGTTCCTAACAAAGCCAGGGCCCGTGAGCTCAAGCACAGGACCTAAAGCCATGGGCAAAGGCAAGGGCAGTGCCCTGGTCTGTGCCTGCCTCGGTGAGTTCTTCAGCAGCAGGCAGAAGTATGTATTCAGACTGCCAGTGCCACAGTGAACAGGGGGATTCACTTGAATACAAAGCTGAAAATAATGCCTACAAAAAAATGAATGAGGCTCCAGGTCTCTTCCCAGTTCCAATGTTCTCGGAGCAGCCACCGACGCCCCTGAACACAGCAGAGACAGGAAGGGGCGCGGGACATGGGGAAGCAGGACCCAGGCAAACCCCCGGTGCCCACTAGAATAAGGCCTGGGCCATCACACGTGCCTTTCACCCTGCATCGGACTCTCCAGTAAAGCAGGCGCCCCAAGGTGACAAACCCTCAGGAAGGGGCTTTCCAGCTCAGAATCCTGCAGGCCAACTTCAGTCAACTCTCCTTCCATTAGATTTGTTCCTGATTAAAAGACACCCCTCTTCCCAAAAGAGACTTTCATAGCATCAAGACACAAACACACAGAACTGGGGCATCCATCTTTCTCTGATAGTGCTTGTTCCAAAACATGCTTCAATTTGTATTCTTTAAATGAAGAAACAGAAAATGAACTGGGTAAGTGCTTAACAGTCACACCCCTAAGGCTTTTGCCACACTTGATGGTCCTGAGTGTGTATGATTGCTATTTCCCATGTTCCAGAGTCTTCTACACTGAACATGTGTGGCTACTCGGCTCCTGCTCTCACTGTCCCCACTAGTCCAAGCAGCTGATGAACTAGATCTCGTCCCTGCCTGCCTGTGTGTGGCCTGCAAGCTAAGAATAGTTTTTACATTTTTAAATAGTTAAAAATTTCAGACTTCCATGAAAATTATAAGCAATTCAGGTTTCTGTGTCCATAAATAAAGTTCTACTGGAATACAGCACACTTATTTTGTTTACATATTATCTATGGCAAAGACCGTAGAGCCCACAGAGCCTGCGATATTTCCTACTTGGCTCTTTATGAAAAAACCTCTGTGAGCCAAGACAGACAGACAACTCTACTCTCTTCAGGACGGAAGATCCCACAGCTGAGATGCAGGCAGGGTGCCCAGGAAGACAAGCACAGCTTGGGAGATGGTTGTTTCCCCAACTATCTGAAAAATAACTTTTCCTCCATGTCCCCAGGTTGTAATTTCTTAGAAATGGACAGACAACTTAAGTTTGAGTTTGAATAGATAGATACATGCAAACTATCTTACAAGGAACAATGTGTATTGTTCTACTTCCTCTACCAGTTGTGCTCACAAGCTCAATTACGCCACTTTACTCCAGCTATATCTGAAACAACACATGTGAAGTGGAGGAATGGAAGCAATGCAGATGGTCTCCATCGGAGGCTGGTCCACCTCTGTGCTAACACAGCAGCTGTCAGGCAGCAGCAGATGGGCAAAAGGACAGAGACCAAGAAGGAAAATGTGAGGGAGAGAAGCAAGAAAACCCCGGAGAATGCTGCACTTACTGCAAAGATTAAGGTAACAGAGAGATGCTTATCAGCTGCAGCCCATCTATCCTTCTGTGTCGACTGCTGCTGGCCAGCAGGTGCTGATGCTTCCAGAGGGGCCAGGCAGTGCAGGGGGCGGGGGAGCAACACCACAGCACCAATTAAAAAGCAAGACCCACTCTCGAGAATAAAGGAGAAACTACCTAAATTTCAGTATAAACGCAGTTTTTCATTCACTTTACTATTATTACATTAATGAAATTCACCATTGTGGAAAATGAGAAAAGGGGTGGGGGATAAGAAAATGCCTATTTCTAGAAACTGAGAGATGCTTCCACATGCAGGTTGATGCTAAGTTATCTGTGGAACAGACATGCTAGGAAACCCGACGCAGTGTCTTCAGTTCCACAAGCTCTGGGAGCTGCTTTACAGTTGCTGAAAAAATGGAGGCTAGGAGTTCCCTACTGTGTACTTAATGCTAGAATCATTAAGAGAAAGGTGCCTGCAAAGCCCTCTGTCCCTGCACACAACCTTTGTCTCTTTGACTTACTGCTTTAATGGACCCATAATTTTAAAACGGGCAGGTACCTTTCAGACTGTATATAGGGAACAGTAGGCAGAGGCTACTCCACATCATGGGGCCTCCCTGTCACCCCTCCACATTCTAAAGAGCACAGGAGACGTCCTGGTGATAGGGCTACTCTGCTCCTTCCCACCCAGAGCACACTCCTCATCCAGTCCGTCTTCTGTGCAGTTCCTGGAGCCTCCTCCGCTTGTGCTGTCCACTCTGACCCTGTGGGTCCCAGGTGCAGAGGGGCCGCACATGTGGGAGATGCGTCTGTATGAGAGGTGGTGTCACAAGGTTGGGGAGGCTGGGGGGTCACGTTGTGAGGCTTGTCAACTCGTTGCCTTCATTTTTTCTGACCAGTTGCAGATAAGGCTACTCATATTCCAGGAACTGTTTGTGATAGAACAGTAAGTACCTGAAAAGGCAGAGAGGAAGGATGCTCACATTCTAACTCTTGACACATTAAAACCAAAACAACCTGCCCCCGAACGAGTGGAACTGTGGTGCCCTCTGCACATGTCTCCAGAGTCTGATTCCTTGGCTGGATGGTTTTTCACACACCAAGGAGGGAAATGTGCTTCACTGGCTGGTGGCACCGTTACATCCTGCCCAAGTTGCTGTGGCCTGATGACCCTCATCTGCCAGAACTTCCACAGTCCCCTTTCCACCCAGGGCTGCCCCACTCTTGTGTGGGACCCACTGTCTGTGAGGATCATGGCAACAGGGCCCAGCCTCAATCTACCTCACAACCCCAAGGCTATCTTTTAATATAGATTCTTCTATGTAAAACCTCTCAAGGGGCTGTCCCTGTTGCTTGGTATACAAAGTCCAAATCCCTCAAGAAATTCACAGCAGCTAGGTGCTCAGGCCCTGAAGGGGCAATGGTTTTCTGTGCCACAAAGGAATAAACCAGGTAGAGAGGAAGAGCTGAAAAAGAACTGATGTATTCAGCTCACATCGTGATTAAATTACATGACTCCTCTGATGTTCTGTGTTAAAGGAATGCCTCAAGAGTGCCTCCAGCCAGACACATTCTCTCCCCTCTGATAACTCACTCAGGTTGGCATCCTATCCAGAATAGGCCTTTAGTACTCCTGCAATAAAGGTAAACATCCAGACACAGACTTTGGGCTCAGACGTACAGAAGGGGAGCAGGGCTGCCACTCCAGGGCCTTCTTCCCACCCTAAGGGACATACCCCTCACTGTCCAGCACGTCCTTAATGCTGGCCTTGGTGATAATGGCGTCATCACATTTAAACCACTGGTCTTTGTGCTGCCGGATGAAACTGGTGTAGTGGCCACTCTCCAAGGTCCCTTGATGGTTAACAACAGCAAACAACGAGTATCTAGTGTGGAAGGAAAGGAGAGGAGGAGAAAAGCAGCTGACTCAACAACATTACCTCAGAAGTCTGGCAGGGAAGGTGGCCTGCAGGCCCGGCTACTGCACCCTCAGAGCTAAGGTCAATGCACAACCAGCTACCTGGGTAGGAAGGGACAGCCTGGTCGCCCCCCTCACTCTCATACATGTCCAGTTGCTCCCTGAACCACATCTAGTGGAGTGGGGACAGCACTGAGCAGTGGAGGAGCTGGACCTGCTCTAGTCTCTTTCCTTCTACAACAGCAATGGTGACAAGTGTGTCTTGAGAACAGAGATCTCGCCATGAGCAGATGCCGAGCTTTCCAGAGGGACCTCCTCCTGCCAGAGCCAGGGAGGAGAGTGGGCTGCTCCAAAGGGGGGAGTGTCTGTAACACAGAGGTATGCAAAGTCCTCTCCTAACAGAAGGTAGCCAGATGGGAGGAAGGTCAGCAGTCATAGGAACAAAAGCTCTCTGGAGCCACTTCTGAGTGTGAGGCCTGTGAGTTGCTAGCGGACACTATGCAAGGAACAGAAGCCACTCGCCTGGCCCACACCCGGCGGCACCCAGACATACAGGCCACTGAGCACCACTTACTTGTTGTCATTGTTGAGGCTGTCCGTGGGCTGCTGGTACTGTCCGTTCATCCTGCTCTCTTTGCTATAACAAACATGGGCAGAATTCAGGACCGTTTAAAATAATCAGGCAGAGACACAAGGCTCTACTGACACCAACATTCATAGAGGGCCTTCTGTGCCATACACTGGGGTGCCTTTTATGTGTTCTAGTTCTTCCAACAACTCCATTTCAGGCAGAAACTACCTTATGTTATGTAAGGACTCTAAGGCTCAGGCTGGAAGTAAACAGCCTAAGAGCACGCCTGGGCCCCAGAGCCACCTGGCCTGGCCTCCTGGAGCTCGCAGGGCAGGTCCTCTCTCAGTGGAACAGACCTCCAGGCCATTTGCTGCTCGAGGAGCTCCTGAAAGGGCTTTGTAACAGGAGCTGGAGCTGAGACCAAAGCAAGATCTGTTTGGAACACAACAGTCAGTGAAAATAGTCTTCCTCCTGAATGTAAAGGGTTAATTTTGAAAAGTGTAAGTTAAATCCATTCGACAACAACCTAGACAGGTGCTTCCTCACAAATACAGAGACTGCTGCTAGTTCTGACAAGCACACCTCCTGAGAAGATGGGAGGGTCAGTGCCAGGAACAGGAAGCCCCATGCTTTATTGACTGGTAGGAAACACTGAGATCTTTGAGATCCTGACATCAACAATGGTATCATCACCCCTCTGTGTAGGTGAAATTGTGGTCAGGCTGACTTATGTTCCTTGGTTTAGGGTGACAACAATGGAGCTGTAACTCTGATAGTCCTTTATTATTTGAAACAGTCACCTATGTTCAACAGAGGCAGGACCACCACGAGCAAGGACACTGGAAAGACGCCATGAGAAGCAGAGGGAAGTTACACACAGATTCAAAGGAGACGGCTGTGTGACTGTGTGATTAGGCCACAAAAGGAACACCCAGAGCCACTGGCAGTTGGAGGAGACGAAGAATGGAACCTTCCATGTACCTCTCAAAGGAGTGGGGCCCCATCAACACTTTCACATCAGATTTCCGGATATAGAACTGTGAACAAATGAATTTCTGTTGTTTTAAGCTACCATATTTGTGGTAATTTCTTATAGTTGCCCAGGAAATGAATGTGTCCAACACATTAGTAAGCACTATGGTTTCTTGGAGTGTTAAATTTTAAGTGGTCTATGACATAAGGTTTGAAAACAAGGAAAATAGAACCGACAACTACAAACCTACTATGTCTATTTCAAAATCTGTTCCATTAACTAAAATGCTGCCTTCTCACTGTGATCCCACCTGGAAGACTTTACAAAACTGAAAGTGGATAGAGAATTGTGAAATAAACAAAGCAAAAATAGCATATCTGAAAACAACTGGTTGAAATATGTCTCAGGTTAAGATCAGGATAAAAGACTCAGTTTTTGGAAGGTAAGGTTTATGTTAATATCAGTGATCACCTTGTTATAGAAGCCTCGTGCTGAATTCCTGCTCCAAAAGGACCACAAGGCCCTCCCAACCACAGGTACAGCTGAACAACCCTCTCCTACCTGGAGGCCATGAAGGGAGTCATGTCCAACTCCAGGGGGAAGGACACGTACGTGGTGATCTTCCGCCTCAGTTTGGCTGAGTGTTCAAATCGCTGCAGAAATAGGAGGTAGGGAAGAGGATGGAGACCAGAAAATGTCACTGGAGACTTTAAGGGCTTCCTTGGATTACATTTTTCTATGCATCTCATTGTATGGCTTTTAGAGACAGGGCCTCGCTCTGTTGCTCAGGCTGGAGTACAGTGACATGATCAAAGTTCACTGCAGCCTTAAACTACTGGGCTCAAGCGATCCTTCTGCCTCAGTCTCCTGTGTAGCTAAAACTACAGGTGATGTTGCCAAGCCCAGAAAAACTTTAAAAAATTTTTGTATAGACAGGGTCTCACTATTCATTGTATTTTTTTGAAGTGCCTTCTAACCACATCTAGAGCTTACAGGTTGAATAGCACAATGTCAACCCACAGAGATCCTAATTTATAGGGTTCAAGTCTCAAAATGATAGAGATTGCTCAGTGACAACCCAGGAGTACAAAAAGTAATATCACAGCAAACCTAGCAAGTGTAGAATGACAAATAAATCCATAGCTCATGGCAGCAAGAACACACATACTGTTCCTTTCATCAGACCCAGACAAAAGACATTTCTTTGATTAGATCAGGGTCTACCAAATCCAGCCAGCAAGCTAGGAATAGTTTTAAAGGATAATAAAATAAAACAAAGAAGAACATGCAACAGAAACTGTATGTGGCCCATGAAGCTGAAGATATTTACTATCTGGCCCTTTTACAGAAAAAGTTTGCTGACTCCTGGACTAGATCATAGCACTAAACATCTGTTTTAAAGTAAATGAAGACAAGAAAAACTGAAGGGAAGGGAGAATTTGAGTAAAAGTAATAAAAACAACCACCACTCCCCCCAGTAGAGCATCCCACATCTATTTTCACTGTGAGGTGACTGCCTTTGCTTACCACAGCACAGGAGAAAAGTGATTAAGCACACACCCTTGTTTCCTCCACATTCCTTGTTGCAATTATACAATGCGCTCTGTCCACCAAACCAGCAGGCTGTTTGTACTATGGACTAAAAACTGAGTCAGTCACTGGAGTTGGTTTTCTGGAAAACTTACTTTGAGATGAAAACAGGCTACAATTGGCAGTTTCTTCATGGTGAGCTGTTTCGTGGACTCCTGGTAGCTATGGCAACCGCTGCATTTGATCTTGGCACTGCTTCCCAAGTGCTCTGGTCTGGTGAATCTACGAGGCAATTAAGAGATAGAAAAAAGAGAGGAAAAAGACATTTATCACCCCTCAATGGGTTGATTTCTCTACTAAAAAGACATACATACAGCTATGGTTATAATTTCACATTGAAAAGAACAACCCTAGCTGGGCTCGGTGGCTCAGCCTGTAATCCCGCGCTTTGGGAGGCTGAGGTGAGTGGATTGCCTGAGCCTGCGGGTTCGAGACCCGCCTGATCAACTTGGCGAGACCTCATCTCTATAATACATCAAAAAATTAGCCGGGCGTGGTAGTGGGCGCCTGTAGTTCCAGCTACTTAGAAGGCTGAGGCGGAAGGATCACTGGAGCCCAGCAGGTCAAGGCTGCGGTGGCCGGGAGCAGCCACTGCACTCCAACCTGGGTGACAGAATGAGACTCCAACTCAAAAAAAAAAGAAAAGAACAACCCTTTTTTCTCTACCTTCTCTGCCTAAAAAATTTTTCTATCAAAAATATTTTAAGTGAAGGCCCAGATAAATGGTAATAATTTTCTGACTACAGTAAGACACAGAAGTTGAATATGACCCCAGAAAAACAAAAACTTATACATTTACACAAAGAGAACATATAATAGCCATTTTATTCATAATACCCAAATACTAGAAACAACCAGATGTCCTCCAATAGGTGAATGGTTAAACAAACAGTGGCATATCCATATTATGGAATACTAGTCAGCAATAAAAAGGAGCGAACTATCAATCCATGCAACAACCTAGATAAATCTCCAGAGAATTATGATGACTGAAAAAGCCAAGCCTGAAAGGTTACATGTTGTATGATGCCATTTACACAGCATTCTTGAAATGTGAGCTTTGCACAAATGGAGAGGATTCCTGGGTCACTGGATTAAGAAGGGGTGACAGTGGCCGTGGTGCTGCACCACAGTGGTATATAGGGTGGGTAGAGGGCACCTGGTTATCTCTTACAATCGCACACGAATCTACAATTATATCAACACAAAACCTTTAATTTAAAGAAATGAGATGTCTGGGGAGAGGGTAATTTTCTAAGGTGCAGAGGGTGGGAGGAAGGCTGCACCAGATGCATTTTCTAGCACAGGTGTTAGCTGCTGCCAATAAACCCCTAAGACAAACATTTAAATATAGTGCATGCCAATTTTTTTAAAGCTGAAAAACAAGCAAAAAACTCAATCTTTTCATAACCAGGTATGGAAAGTCCTTGTTTATGCTTTGAAAACTGCCACCTCTCCTGAGGCAAGATGAAGAGGGCTCTGACCAAAGCTAAGCCTGTTTTATTATCAGATTTGTGACCTAGTCAAGTTTCAAAGCAGAACTTGCAAAGAACCCTTTGCTTTTAGCACAAAGTGGAGACAGATGCACTCCACTCTCCTCCCCACCCTGCCAGGTACCATCACCACACCATGGCTCTCCCAACCACACACACTTCCTACACATTGTCGTCTATGAAGGGCAATTTCTCCCTCATCTCTGCTATACTGGCAAAGCTTCAGTTTTACCGAAATTTAGGACTAATTTTAATCTAGTTGCAAAGAACTTTTTGAAAAAGATTTTTGGTTTTGACTGGTTTGTTTTCAAAATTAAAAATGCATTATCCATTTTCTATCTGGATCTATCACTGTAATAGAATTGATGCATTTAAAAATTCTAAACATGTAACCTTGGTCCTGTTGACTATGCAGCAAGATAAAAACCAAAAGCTTGTACCTCCTCTAAGAAATATGTTCACTCAACAAGGATTCTTCTGCAGTAACCTTTAATTAATGCCAGTGAAAGGAACAAAGGTTGTAACACTAGAATGAATTAAAATAAAGGTCCAAGAAGAGTTTCTGGTGTCTCCACAGCTGTATGCTACAGCTATATAAACACATTTTACACAATCAAACCCTAAATCTCATCACTCATCTAAACTGAAGAATGGACAAATTAAAAACTGACCTTAGGTGCAAAACACCACAATTATGTTTTAATCACTTGCCATGGCCATGTGCCACAGGGAGAGGGGTCTGATCGTGCTTAGTTCACTCTGGTATAGGTTCTTAACCTCAAAAGTTGAGGGAGTTTCACGTTTTGCTCTTTGGTTAGTAGCTAGTGATACCAACATCCTACACAGTGCAAATCTGGTGGACAGAAATATCTAGTCATCTTGCATAAAAAAAGACAAACTAGCATGAGCTACTGCAGCCAACTGTAGGTTGATGCCGTATCTATTCAGAAGGTTTTATCCTGGGCATGCGAGAGAAAACCCTTGTTAGCTCCTGATTAACCGCTCTTTTGAACAGCCTTCCCGTGGGCTTCTCACCTGCGCAAGCAGTCTGTAAGCGTGGTGGTTCCCAACACGTGGCTTTCTCCATTCACCACACTGCCCTCACCGCCTGGGCTCAGGGGCCAGAATGGGGTGGAAGAGCCAGGCAGATCCAAGCTGATGTCCCAGAAGGGATCTATTGTGGTGGAGACTCCACTAGAAGCAAAGAGATAAAAATACTCGTGAAGACAGATGCCTTTGGGCACTTCAGAGGCAGCACACCCTCATACCCCCTCCCCACTCTGCCCTTTTGTCCCAGTGACACCTCAGGTCAGACAGAGCAGCAATGGGAACAACATGTCCTGCAATCCCAAGGTGGACCCAGGAAGAAGTGTGCGTGAACCATGTAAGGCAAGGGCTGCTTCTCAGGCAACGGTTTCCGAATCTGGAGACCATCAGTCACTTAGGAACTTTTTGAAGAGTATAAATTCACAGGCCCAGTCCAGAGGCTCTGAATCCATGGATCTATCTCAGCTGCATCTGGGAACTGTGGAATCACTGCTTGAAAACTGGGACCTTCAGTGAACGTGAAGGCCTCCAAGCACACTTCACTAAGAGTGCACAGCAGCCAGGCCTGACAGCCCCGGTGGGCATTTAATGAGGCCAATTCCTTCCTAGAGACTTATCTTACAACAGAAAAAAAAAAACAAAACAAAACCCTGTCATAAACTGGGAAAGATACTATAGATTTTAAATAGGATATTAACCTGGAACAATCTCCTGCTCACAGAACTGAGAGCAAACACTGGGTCTAACCTGTTTAGAGCCAAGTCCCCGGATGATCTATGCTCCTTATAAAAAAAATGTACCCATGATACAGGCAGCACTGGTCTTTGCCAATATCCAGTTGGCCTTATACAGATGTTAAACTGCAATCTATCATAGGTGCTGAGATGATTTTAGTGGATCGTAACTAGGGTTTTTAAAAATTGAACTGGAAAACAAACAACGAAGTCAGGTGTGGTACCATATACCTACAGTCCCAGCTACTTGGGAGGCTGAGGCAGGAGGACCACCTGAGCCCAGGAGTTAGAGATAACACAGGGCAACATAGCAAGACCCTGTCTCGATAAAAAAACAGCAGCATGCACTGGGGTTGAACAAGAGGCTTTCACTAACCAAACAAGTCAGTGGATTCTCTTTCTGGAGCTAAAAGCTTGGCGCTCTAAGCACAAACCATACCTGGAAAGAATTAGGCCCACTACCTCAGAGAAAATGGAACAGGAAACCATAAAATGATGAACTAATAAACTTCACAGCGTGTATGTAAAAAATCTGCTATGTGTGATCCAGTCCCTCCTGTAGGGCTCCTGGTGTCAAGGACTATAAGGAAAACAGAAATGTGAGGGAGAGGCTTCCAAGAACACACTGCTGGTGTGGATAAAAGTAAAGACCAACTTGAAGGATGCACATCCTAGGAGGACACCAGCCCACAAGACCTCCCTAGGAGGAAGTGCCTCCATCTTGACCTTCACACTCAGGGCACCTGTTAATCATTTCTCGTACACCTTTTCAATTAGAGTTATTTTGTCTCAACAAATGACAATGGTGTGCTTGTCTAAATAAAACTTCTCCTGTCCTCATTTGACCACAGCTGCTCTACTGTTAGAGCCTAACAGCTCAGTGACCCATCCCAAGAAGGCACTGCAGGGATAGTGTCCACTATGTTCCAGGCCCAAGACTCTATTTGAAAGACCTCTCAGAGCACACAGCTCTCGTGACTGGGAATGTACTGTGATGCCGGCATGGCCTCAGTAGGGTCTGGCACTAAGGAACAAGTGCCCTCGCACTTACTGGCAAACTTGGCAGGTGACATCCGACTGCAGCCCACCCGTGAAGATCTGGTCTATGATGCAGTTGCAGTGGTTGGGGTTGTTGGCCTTCTTCCCATTGTCATCACCTAGGGACAGACCACAGCTCTGGGATTAGTGTCTGTGCCACAAGGACAGCAAGTCTCTGAGGGAAGAGCACATGCATCCAGCAGAGGCCCACATAAGCCAGCAGCACTGACACTTTAAAAGATGACTGATTCCTCGTTTCAAGAATAATTAAATATTTTTACAGTGAGACAGCCAAACATATGGTGAGACAAACACTCCCAGGGAAGCCCCTAACTCTCCCCTTGACAAGATAAAATAGTGCCCTTCCTCCAGAAAGCATCCCCACTCACCTCTCTTGGGCTTTCCTTGTCAGTCCCTGTACTTGAGCCCCCAGTGAGCAGCATACGTCGCCAGGCAGCACTACCTACAAGCATCATTCCCAGCTCTCTATTCAATATATATCGTATTCATAAGTGTGTGTAGACACAAAACTAATGTAGCAAAATTTAATACATATTTGGAATATATTCCAAATAACCTCACTCAACTAGAAATGGGGATAGTGCTGCAGCCATTTGGGTATATGCCACTTATCAAAAAGGTTGAACATTACAGAGGGGCCCTCGCATCTTCTGACATCAATTGCCCACCAAGTTTAATACTGGAGGAAGATGCTGCTTAGAGGGATCTCAAACTCATAGGACAAAATGCTGGGGGGTATGGGAAAACACACAGGAAGATGCAAAGACGAACAAGTGAAAAGATGGCCATGACAGATGCAAAGACAAAGCACTGCCACAACCAATGCCTGCAGCCCAGTAAGTGCACAGAGGGTTCTAACAACCACACTGTTAACATGAAGAACCTGACATTTCTTTTCAGACGTTTCAAAGGGAATTAAGTCAAAAGCAGATCGCAATTATTTAAAAATTTTTTTGCTATACAAACATATTAACAGCAATTAATTTCTGATTTTTACAACAGATTTCTCCTGACTGCAAAAGGCAATTAGTCTCACCAGGCGCTCAGAAAATAACCTAATAGTCTTTCATGGTGGTTCTTTTCTGTTTGCTTGTTATAAATCAAAGTAGGAAACCAAACCTTACTTAAGCTGTTAAGTAACTTTATTTGACTCTTAGGGCAACTATTAAAAGGATCATGTGTATTTTTTTAGCAGGAAGAAATTTAAGTGCCCAAAACCAAAACTCAAAGCCGTGACAGTTGATCAAAACCAGCCACCTATCATCTCAAGGGTGGGTTATTTCTGAGCCAGAACCTGACTCCACAGGGCACCTATGAATGAATACCCAGTAGCCCTGAGAGACTGATGAGGACAGCTAGAAAGCCCAGCTCATCATACCGTTCAACAAGCAACCCAGGAAAACAGGACTTTATTCTTGTTTTTATTTTTTAATTTTTTTTTTTTTTTTTTGAGTTGGAGTCTCAGTTGGTCGCCCAGACTGGAGTGCAGTGGCTGCTCCCGGCCACCGCAGCCTCGACCTGCTGTGCTCCAGCGATCCTTCCGCCTCAGCCTTCCAAGTAGCCGGAATTACAGGCATGCGCTACCATGCTTGGCAGATTTTTTGATTTATTGTAAAGATGAGGTCTCGCTGCCCAGGAGGGTCTTGAACCCGCAGGCTCAGGAAATCCACTCACCTCAGCCTCCCAAAGGCACGGGATTACAGGCTGAGCCACGAGCCTGGCTTATTCTTGTTTTTAAAAAGACTCCCATTAAAGAGAAAATCAGCTGTGCCAGCCCAGAGGCCACAGCCAGATACTTGACACCTGATACTTGAGTATAGTGGTTCTCAGATTGCAGCATCTGAAGCAGCCTCACTAGTACCACCTGCAAACTGATTAGGAAAGAAAAATCCTTTGACCTCCCCAGAACTACTGAATCAGAAATGCTAGGAAGGTGTCTCAAGGAGCTCTCCAATGACCCACACTCAGGTTGACAATCACCCTTTGGCTGGTACTGGTGTGGGTCAGTTCTAGCTACAGATCCTTCACACTGAAAACTCCAGAGCAGGAGGGTGGGGAGGAGGCAATCTGGTTCAAGTCACTCAGTCCTAATCTCCCACCTCCAGCCCTACAGGCTGCTGCCCTGACTCCTCAAACTAACAAAATCCATACATCTGAGAACCTTTGTGAGGGCACCACCCTCTTGGGACACGCTGTGGGACTACGTTATGACAAAGCAAAGTGTCAGTAAGATACCAAGACAGACCTGAAAACAAAAGGCCCTTGATTGGGATCAAAAAAGGACCTGACTCAGGCTCTGGGAAAGCCTGGCAAGCATACAGTCTCTGTCTCTGGCTACTTTAGGGCAACCATCAGTCCTTTTGGAGAACCCCAAGGGGCAGGAGACTGTTCTGATGTTTAAGCTGTGTTTGGGGAATATCAAAAGCCTCGGGTCTGATAACTTAGAGGACCCCAGAGCCACCATGGCAGGCAGAGACCATAAAGCCCAAGCCCAGCAAGAGAACCAAGACATCACTGTTCACGACGATGGGTCATAGAGGACCAATGGCCTCGTTGAGACCATTTCCTCTTCCTTTTAAACAAAGCAAAACAAAAAACTCCGAAGAAGCTCTCTGAAGTCATTAATTATGGCATTTTTGTAATTGGAAAAAAAATGTTATAAAGCCATGATACAGTCAAATGTGTCACCCTCACTGTTCTGCGCCAGTGTACACACACTCAATTTGCTCCCCCTCTTGGAGGAAGACGTCCTGCCCTGACCCTAGTGAAGGTGCTGAGCCCAGAGCCTACCTTTGCAGTGTCGGTGGAGGACGTCCAGGGCTGCAATGAGGAACTCGTGGGCGTCCTGCTGCTCGTAGCCTGCCAGGTGCCGTGCGTGAGTCCACACCAGGTGCAGCAACTTATATGGAATGTGAGGGGACCGGTGCCCAGAGTAAAACTGCTCAGAGGGAGGAAAAAAGAAAGGTGTGTGAGGAATAAATGCGGATTCTGAACACACAGCATACACGATTAAAAAAAAAAAACATTTAACAGCTGCCTACAATTGAGTAAGACCAGTTTGACAAAAATGTTTCAATTTCACTCTTCTACTTTTTTACAAACTGTATTTTCATGTGGACTCATCAGTCTGTGTGAGTTGTTCCCATTCCACCACCTAGTCTTCTATACAGATAAGCCTAAATGATGAATTAGGACTTGCTACTATGAGAGCAGATGCAAATAAAAGTGACTCCATTTGCCCAACACTAGGTTACTCAAAGCACTAACCAAACCACCACAGGCTCGAGTACAACAGCACTTCCACACAGGGATCACTCTCATGATTACACAGAATTCAACAGCATTGGCCACAAGACTTTCTAGCCTGTGGCTAACAGCAAGTAGCTCTAAGGTTGCCAGCCAATTCAGCAGAGCCAGTTCTCTCTGCTCAGTGTGCTGGGGATACCAGACCCAGCAGCTCACCTTCCATTTAGCGGTTTCCTATCTAGGTAAGAATTCACAGAGTTCTTGTCTATTCATATACAGAAGCATGAACACATAAAACCATCTGATGTGAACATTTCAGATATTACACCTTTGGAGTTAACATTAATTTTACGCAGAAGAGACACAGTGTATCTTTCTTAAGAATATATTCATAATTCTTTTTTTGTTGTTGTTGGAGATAATTTCGCCATGTTTCCCAGGCTGGTCTCAAACTCCCAGCCTAAAGCAATCCCCACCATAGCCTCCTGAGTAGCTGAGATTACAGGCATGAGTTACCATGCCCAGCAGATTAATAATTCTAAATTACAAATCTAAAAATAATCACGGAAACAAAATGACATGGTAACAAATATAATATTACTAATACCTAATAATGAAATAAGCTTTGTTCTTTCAAGTTTTAAAAAACTTACATACACATGACATTCATTCACTTGGTATAAACGGCATTTGTTTACAAAAAAGTGGCATGAGGTGGGCAAAGAAGAAAATATCGAAATCCTAAATAGGCTTAGAACTTATGCTTGTATGATGAGAAAAGGTGAGAGGCAGAGAACAGTTAAGAGGAAAATAGATGCTAACATGACATCTAATAAAAAGAAGACTTAAGACACAACGGAAAACAAAACTGCTCGCCCTAATAGGGAGAAGGAATGAGGAAGACCTGGGTGCATACTGAACTAGTGTTCCAGGAATGCCACAACCCAAGAGCTGAGGCCCAGCCACCCTAGAACTCCTTTGTGAAAGTGTTAAGTCGCAAATACTCAGTCTTTATTACATTAGCTATAAAACAAATCCCTACACTAGATTATGTCATAGAAATCCAACGAAAAGGCCAAATCTCTAAACAAACAGCGTGTACACTTCTCCATATATACACTGAGAAACCTCCCAAGACCTGTGCTAGAGTTGTGGTTCTCAAAGTACGGTCCCTGGCAGCCACAGACACAACCATACTAAACATACATGCAACAAAGAACAGTCAAAACACATGATGCAACAATTAACAGCGCTGAATAGAGTAACAGACAAAGTCACAATTATAGCTGGTGATTTCAAACTTCTTTTTCAGAATTAGAACAAGTCTACAAAAAGAATCTATCAGGAAGGATACCAAAGACCCCTTTATCATTATGTAATATTCCTCTTCTTCCCCAGTGATACTTTTTCTAAACTAAAATGTTCATCATTTGAAAAACCAATGAATTTTAACATTAACAAAATTAAAAAGTCAAATTACCATCTTGGTAGCTGCATTTGAAAAAAGGTGAAATCTATTCATGATACTCTCAGCAAACAAGGATTAGAAAGAGAGTCCTCAACCTGCTGAAGTGCATCTAAAGAAGATGCACTTGATCAAGAACAAAGCAAGGATGTTCACTCTTGTCACTTCTACTCAGGACTACACTGGAAGTCCTGCCCAATACAATAAAGCCTGGCAAAGAAATACAAGGCAGACTGGGAAAAAAGAAGCAAAGTCTTCTTTATTCAAATTAATAATATGATTGTTTACATAAAACATTCCAAGCAATTTAGAAAAAAAGTTACTGGAACTGAAAAGTGAGTCAAGCAAGGGCACAGGACAAAAGGTCAATATATAAAAAATTAACTCTATTTCCAAGGTACTAGCACTGAAAAATTAGCAACCAAAACTAAAAACAGTACTACTTACAACAACACCAAAAACATGAAATACTTAGTGATAAATAAAAGAGAATATGTGAAAGATCTGTATACTGAAAATGCTGGTAAGAAAAATTAAAGACCTAAATTAATGGAGACAGACACTGGAGAAAAATGCTAATTTTCACACAAAAACCTGTACAGATATATAAATATTTATGACGATTTCATTCATCACAAAAAATCCCTCAAACAACCCAAATGTCTGTGTTGAGAAATGGACAATTAAGCTATAGTCCAGCCACACAATGAACTACTATTTAGCAATAAAAACACACATGAATAACATATGAAAGGACATGGGTGACCCTCCAACACATTACGCCAAGTAGAAGCAGCCAGACTCAGAAGGCTACTTGCTACATTACATCCATCCACAAGGATCACCAGGAAAGGAAGCTCAAGGAACAAAAGACAGGCAGTTGCCAGGGGTGAAAGGGTGGGAGGAGGGAGAGGCTTACTTCAGAAGGGCACGAGGGAGTTTTGGGAGGTGATGCAACTGTTCTTTATTTTGAATAGTAGTTATCAATTGCATTTGTCAAAACACAGATCTATATACACTAAAAGGAAATGTTCCTGTGTGTAATGTATACCCTAGTAAACCTGAGTTTAAAAAACAATCTAATAGAGATGAACTTATCACCTATCACAGCCCAGCTAAAGCTAGTGACCAGTTACCCACTCCTTTTCCAGCTGCACCCCCTTTCTCCCACTGAGGCCCCCTTAAGGGTCCTATCTGACTCAGCCTGTCCACTGCTGTGACCCAACAGTTACTGGCACATTGAAGGTATTTAGTAAATGTGTTAGGCTAGACCAGAGCTTGGCAAAATTTTCTGAAAATGTTCAGAGAGTAAATAATTTTGCCTTTGCAGGCTGGAGGGTCTCTGTTCAACTGCTCAACTCTGGCTGTTGCACAAAAGCAGCCACTGTGTAATCAAGCAGTGCGGCTGCATCCCAGTCGCAGGTTACTCAAGAAACAGAGGGCGTTTACCAACTCCTGTGCAAGGCAGCTGCAGGACATGCACCGGCCCCATTTTTCAGCTGGGGTGACTGAGCTGCTTCAGCTCTGAGAACTGTGCCTGAGGTCACTAAGCTGGTGGGTGCGGAGGCCACAGTTCGAGTGCACCTTGTCTCTGGGCTCTGCCATGCTCTGACCTTGGGTCGAAGACAGATAAGACATGGATAGGTATGCCACAAATGCAGCCTACAACCAGATCAAGGGAACAGAGTTGATGCACAGGGCACAGCTCATGAGGAAGAGGCTCAGACTCAGCGCACTCAGAAAGGCCTGGAAGCAGAGGAGGAGACCCGCTTTCCTTGAGAATGAGGCATGTACATACTTCCTGAGCCAGGACAGCAAACAATGAAGAAAGGAGAAACGCCAGTCTTTGTAGATAAATGTCACCCACGGGGAACTCTCTGCCACACCCATTTAAAGGGATCCCTCATCTAGAGGCAGCAGTGTGCCTCAAAGCTTGTGTCAAGTCTCTTGTCTAACCACTTCTTTTGGGAAAATTGTGTGTTTTCCATAATGGATACATATATTACATATTTACTCACTACAAAAGGTTCTAAATTTGTCTTCCTTTAGTATGATTGATTGTCTTTCTTTTTTTTTTGAGTTGGAGTCTCACTCTGTTGCCCAGGCTAGATGGTACAGTGGGATGCTCAAGCCCACTGCAGCCTCTACTTGCTAGGCTCAGACAATCCTTCCGCCTCAGCCTTCCAAGTAGCTAAACTACAGGCATGTGCCACCACGCCTGGTCAATTTTTTGATTTATTGTAGAGGTAGGGTCTCACCAAGTTGCCCAGGCTGGTCTTGAACCCGCAGGCTCAGGCAATCCTCTTACCTAGGCCCAAAGTGCTGGGATTACAGGCTTGAGCCACTGTGCCCAGCTAATTTTCTATTTTTAAAGGCAAAAAAAAAGTAGTTACAGAAGTGTCCCCTGGAAGATATCAGCGGTGCTCACCTCCTGAAACAGAGAGGACATCTCACAGACCAGACAGGAGCTGGGGCTCTGCATCTCACACCGGTGCCTGTCGGACAGGAAGAAGTCACGCAGCAGCGGCGTGTGTGTCAGAGCCTGCACAATGCAGTTCATGAAGCATGTGTTCCCAAGGTTGATTAGCCCACGCAGACCTGGACAGAAGCCACCAGAGAGCAGGGTTACTTGTGCACTGAGTTACATGTGTTGTGGAATCCCAGCAAATTCCTTTACATCTACGTGCTCAGTCATTTTATTTGTTCAAGAAGAAAGCAAGAAGTAATTTAGCATTTTTCTCATTTTTATGCTAATTTGATGTGAACTGTGTTGAGGAATGTCCACCACAATCACCCTCTTCCATATCAGCTGTTATGTTTTGACAGAATTACCCAAATATATATATATTTGAGTTGGAGTCTCACTCTTGTCGCCCAGGCTGGAGTGCAGTGGCATGCTCATGGCCACTGCAGCCTTGACCTGCCGGGCTTAGGTGATCCTTTCACCTCAGCCTTCCAAGTAGCTGAAACTACAGACACACCACCATGTCTAGCTATACCCAAATACATTTTATATAACAGGCCAGGTCAGAATGAAGCTTCACAAACAAACAAAGCAAGCTTTAAAAAGATATTCTACAAGGCATTTCCTTTTTTTTTTTAAACTAAAGGTATTTCCTTAATTTGAAGAAAATCCAGTGAACACTCACACTGAAACACATCGTCTTTCTCCCTGAAGACGCTATACCCAGTTTCTACCTGTCCAGGATACACTCTTACACATGCACTCTGAGAGCTGCGGGGCAGGGACCACTTCCGCTTGTCACTCTGCACCCTGAGTCTACTACAGGTCCTCTCAGAGAATTGGTGCTCAAGTCCTGGCTGTTGAGCAAACTGACGAGCAACAGCTACACAGGGCTTAAGTACAATGTCACTGGGTTATGTAACCCACCAGTATACGTTTACATTTTTTCTTTACATTTACTTTTAAACCCTGAAAGGAAGCCTAACTAAGAGTGAAAACAGACCTCAACTCTGAACAATGAATGTCCTTCACCCACCTATGGTACAGTTCGAAGTGATCTTTCTTCTTTTTGGGTTGTGTTTCAGCAGTTCAAGCTCCCGTTTGGTTGGTTCCCAAGTTGAAAACTTCTCTCCAACGCCTAAGCAGAGGAAGGATAGTTCCAGGTGCTGTCAGCTACATTTTCATCAAGTGTGTTTACACATAAAAGTTGTGGTAACACACTATCAGGCTGTATTTCAGAGAAGACCACCTGCAACATCAGGGCTTTCTAAATAAATCCCTGCTGTGCTGAGACAGGTCACCGAGAACACTTAAAGGAGCTTCTCTGGAGAGTGTGCCATGAGTTATGTCTCTGCAAGAAGGAAAGCAGCACCTCCCATCAAAGCTACCCCAACACTGCTGCCAAAATGGCTGCTTTTCAAATGTTTTTAATTTCTGAGTACAGGAATGGCATGGAAACCTAGATGAAGGATTGTCCTGAAGATGAAACTGACACAGAGAAAATGCAGTTTTGAGCAAACTGAAATAGATACAACCTTTTTTTTTTGAGTTGGAGTCTCACTCTGTCACCCAGACTGCAGTGCGGTGGCCGCTCCCGCAGCCTCGCCTGCTGGGCTCCAGCGATCCTTTCGCCTCAGCCTTCCGAGTAGCTGGAATTACAGGCACGCACTACCACGCCCAGCTGATTTTTTGATTTATTGTAGAGATGAGGTCTCGCTGCCCAGGTGGGTCTCGAACCCGCGGGCTCAGGCAATCCACTCACCTCAGCCTCCCAAAGGCGCGGGATTACTAGGCTGAGCCACCGAGCCGGCTTGATACAACTTTTTTTTAAACTTTAACTTTTTTGAGTCCAGGTTTCAACTCTGCTGACCAGGATGGAGTGCAGTGGCATGATCATGGCTCATCATAGCCTTGACCTCCTGGGTTCAGGTGATCTTTCTGCCTCAACTTCCTGAGTAACTGTGACTACAGGCATGCGCCACCATGCCTGGCTAATTTTTTAATTTTTTGTAGAGACAAGGTCTTGCTATGGTGTCCAGGCGGGCCTCAAATACCTGGACTCAAGCAATCCTCCTGCCCTGGCCTCCCAAAGTGCTGGGATTATGGGCGTGAACCACTGTTACCTGACCAGATTCAACTGTTAAACAGTTCTGTACCACAAAATATTCATACCAAAGACAAGAATGGTGTAAATGCTAGTAAGCAACATATTTCATCTTAAAACACATCCTATTTACTCAGAGGTCCTTGTTCTATGCCACCTAAAATTTCTGAACAATTCAATATACTTTAAAAAGCACAGCATCTTGGATAGATAAAATTATGGAATAATTTTGGAAGAATTCTATTTTAATTAGAAACATGCATTTCTCAGCCCTGTGGCTTAAGTGTTCTACACAAAGAAATAATACACCCACACTTAGCTGCCATGTCATTAAATTTTTGAGAAGGGGGAAAAATAATAGGAAATACAAGTCAAAGAGACCGTGCTCCAGAAAAGATTTCTAAATACAAATCATTCTGTTCAAAGACAGCAGCACCTGTTTCTATTCTTCCATTCACAAAAAAAATGGGGGTTTTTAATGCAGGCCAATCAAGGTAAGAATCTATATATGTTCCTTTTTATTAAGTCATGGTCCTGCTATCTAAGAGATGAGATGCTCACTTGTCGACTAGAACAAGCCACATCTATCACTGTCACTGTAAACCACTAAGAGCATCTGCTGGAATTGAAAATGAAAAAAATGAAGAAAATATCAGGGAAAACAACAGAAAGGAAATAATAAAGAACAAGGCTGCATAATGTTTGCGGATCTCTGACTCTTATGTAGCCAACAGAGAATACACATGGGAATAGGGAAATGACAGCAAGAAACCTGCGCTGGCCCCGGAGCAACAAAGGCACCTCACAGGAGTCTGGACTATCCAGGATGGCTAGTGGAAGTTTATTCTATTTTCCATCTGGCAATTTTACTCTGCTGACAGAGATTTAACACCATCCAAACAGTTCAGAGATTAGAAGAGATTCTACAGTTTATTCAGAAAAATGATCTATACTCCTGGAAAAGAACCAGATATATTCACTGCCACACAACTATGAAGATATCACTTTCTAGAATACTTCAGGGCTGAGGGCAAACTACTCTTCAGGGATTGCTGGGCACTAAATCACCTGTCCAACAGATGAGATGGGACACGGCCTTGCTGGTGCCATAAATGGTTCAGCTCTGGGACTACAAGAGCTTTCATGCTGCCATGTGTTCTTCCCCAATCTGAAATAGCTGCTCAGGGCAGGCCCGTGGGAGACCTGTACTAGAGGAGTGACCAGGAAGCAGTCCTGGTGCACATGGACAGCTGTGTGGCCAGCCCCCTCACCTACCAGATCCACAACCCCAGCAGACTCCACTGTGGGCCCATGGGAAGGAGCTGGCGGGGGGAGATCTCCTCCCACCAGGCTATCACACCTCCTACTCCGCAGGTACTTCCTAGGTACTTCCCTTTCTCTTACTGAGTTCTGCCCTTAACAGACATGAGGGAACTGCAGGGTTGAGAGACAAACCAGGCAAATAAATTTAGACAGAACCAAACCTTGCATTTTCCAAGCTTTTCGTTGTTCCTCTTTGGCAATTATTTCCATGTCTTTGTCATAGATGTAGTCCTGACACAAAAAGCAGTATATGCCTCCATACATCAGGTCAATGGCTGAGAAAAGAGGAAGAGATACAAAATTTCATTAAAAACTTAAAGGGAATACAACAGGACACAATTAAATACTTCCCTGCCCTCCAGTCACAGCGTCCCAGTCCGGAAGGATCTACTCCCACAAGACAGTCTATCTTAAGCAGGTGAGGTGTGTGCACCACCTGTGGAAGTACCTACCAAGGGCTAAGGAATCTGAGAAAGAAAGTGTCACGTGCCTATTTCACAATGGAGCGAATACTCCAGTACTGGGACCTCTGCCCTCGTCTCTGAACATGTGGCACTTAAGAGTAATATCTCATTGACTATTTCAGGTCCACAAGTATTTCCAGTCATGTGACATAGAATCCCTATGCTCTACTACATCTAGAATTCCTAACACTATTACAAAATGGAATGCAACAGTTATTTGTTGTTACTTGTGTTGTTGACAGCATTTGCTACTCTTACTCTTTAAGAACAGAGGTAAAATAGCTTCTAATTGGATGACTGATTTCTTGACCTGGAGCTGCTGCCACCCCACTATGGATGGGTCTTGTGCACTTTCTGCAACATCTATAAAATATAACTAATAATGTGCTCTTAATTACTTTATTATAATGATAAATAAGATACAGTCCTTTCTGCACTTGGAAGACACTCACTCAATTCAATAATTTTTTTAAATGGTGGGAGGGTTTAAATTCATCGAGCAATGTCAGTTATTGGGAAGTGACCAGAGCATGGATTTAGAATAACTGGCATCAATCCTCACTCTGCCATATATTAGTTATGTATCTTTGATCAATTATTCCACTTTTCTGAGCCTCAGTTTCCCCTTTGGTAAAATGCTGACAACAATAACATTTAACACTTCATAGGTCTGTGTGATGATTAAATTAGTACATAACTTAAGTACATCTCCCAATTAACAGTAGTATCTTTTAAAAATTACAGTTTTAAGTTACTATGACTAACTGAAAATAGCAATTTAGGAATCCCCTGGCTCAGAGGGCCCTAACCCCCAGGGCAAGGACTGGTATAGGTTCATGGTCTGTTAGGAACCAGACTGTACAGAAAGAGGTGAGCAGCAGTGAAACTTCATCTGTACTTAAAGTCACTCCCCACTGCTCACATTACTGCCTGAGCCCCGCCTTAGATTCTCACGGGAGAACCCTATTGTGAACTGCACATGCGTGGGATCTAGGTTGCACACTCCTTATGAGAATCTAATGCCTGACAATCTGATGTAGAGCTGAGGCAGTGATGCTATGTATTTCATTATACACTACAATGTAATAATAATAGAAATAAGGTGCACAATGATCCCGAAACCATCGCCCAGCCCCCAGTGCATGGAAAACTTGTCTTCCATGAAACCTGTCTCTGATGCCAGAAAGGTTGGGAACTGTTGCCCCAGCTACTTTCTGCCTCTTTCAAGAAACTGACAGAATTCAAACTATTTTAAAGTCCTCATGAGAGGTGGCACAGAAAGTTCAGCCAGTTGCCTTCAACATAATCATTAGCAGTGTAGTTCCTAGCATCTGGGTATCAAAGAGAAATCTTGACACAAACAAACTTACAATAAAGATGGTGAGCATTTTCAGTAAAGCACAAACATTCAATAAAAAATATGTCAAGTGTATAGCTGACAACAAAAATACCACTAGCCTAGGGAAGACGTAATTATTCCAGCGTGTGTTTAAGTTCTCTTAGATTAAGCCCTCCTTCAAGGCACTTTCACAAAGTAACACACCCACTGTGTAAAACCATCTTATGCTGACAGGTGCCAGGACCATTCACGTGGAAAGGACAACCAGTGCTCGGGACAACTGGAAATCTACACACTGAAGCTGGATTCCTACTTCATACCACATAGATTTGGCAATGGATTTGACATTTGACTGAAAAGGCACAAGCAACAAAAGAAAAAGATAAATGAGATGTCATCAGAATTAAAAACACCTCATCCAGTGCATCAAAGGACATTATCAAGGAAGTGAAAAGACAACCCACAGAATGGGAGAAAATATCTGCAAATCATACATCTGATGAGGGTTGACTACCCAGAATACGCACACGCGTATATATGGAACAGAAAGACATCCCAATCAAAAAACAGGCAATGGGCTTGAATTGATATTTCTCCAAACACTGTAAATGTACAAATGGCCTAACAAGCACATGAAAAATGCCCAGTGTCACTGGTCATTAAGAAAATGTAAATCATTTTGGGAGACCAAGGCAAGAGGACTGCCTGAGTCCAGGGGTTCAAGACCAGCCTGGGCAATTTAGTGAGACCGTGTTTCTACAATCAAAAAATTAGCTGGGCGTGGTAGCATGCACTTGTAGTTCCAGCTACTTAGAAGGCTGAGGCAGAAGGATCCCCTGAGCCCAGCAGGCTGAGGCTGTGGTGGCCGCAAGTGTGCTACTACACTCCAGCCTAGGCGACAGAGTGTGACTCCAACTCACACACACACAAAAAAGAAAGTGCAAACCAAAACCACAATGAGATAACCACTTCACACCCACTGTGATGGGTATTAAAAAAAAAGAAAATAAGGGTTGGTGAAGATGTGGAGAAATTGGAATCTTTATACATTGCTGGTGGGAATTAAAATGGTGTAGCTGCAGAGGAGAAAATGATAATTTCACAAAAGTTAAACACAGCCATACAACCCAGCCACATTTTACTTCCAGACATACATCCAGGAGAAATGAAAACATGCCCAGCTAGAATTATACACGATGTTCAAAGCAGTACTATTCATGAAAGCCAAAAGGTAGAAACAATCCAAATGCCCATCAACATATGAACAAATAAAGAATGTGGTCTATATATACAACAGTATTATTCAGCCATAAAAAGGAATGAAATACTAACACATACTACAACTTAGATGAATGTCAAAAACATGCTAAGAAGAAGCCAAACACAAGGGTCACATGTTGTAAGATAGTGCAGGCAAATCCATAGAGACAGAAAACAAAACAGACTTGCCAGGGGACAGGGGAGTGAAGGACGGACAGTGATCAGTTAATGGACATGGGGTGTTTTGAAGAATGAAAAAGTTTTGAAGCAAGGTGGTAGATGTACAACACTGTAACTGTACTAAATGTCACTGAATTGTATACTTCAAGATAGGTAATTGCATAATATGTGGATTTCATCTCAATATAAAATTAAAAATTAAAAAACACAAAGCAATGCCTACAACCAAAATAGTTCCCTTGGTAAATTATTTCATAGTCAAAAAAAACTATTCTACGACAAATCCTTGACTGCACTAAAAAAAAAGGCCGAGTACAGAATCTAGCTACTTAAAATGTGAGCAGGACATTATTCAACAGGAGTGAAGAGGGCCTGTGTGTCACAGAACCTCTCTTATTGGCAGAGGGATGATATATGCTTTTGTTTTATACATCAGCTGCTTGGGAATTCCCAAGCCATCAACTGAGAGAGGCACTAAGCATCCTCATTTGTTCCCACAGGATGAACTTAAGGGTGAAGAAAGACCCATCATCAACTCATAAATGAGCTGATGCCCTCGCCCCCACCTCCACCCCCACCCATACTCGCTACTTTTTGGGTAATTGAAATAACTTTTCTAAGATGATAGAAAAAACTTAAGGCATTATTTTTAATCCCTTTGTGGTTCATACAGGCAAAATCCAAGCACTCTGGTGGTCAACATAAAATGAAAACCTGCATGAAACTAAAAGTCTGAAGTCAACCAGCTCCAGGTATCTTACTCTATTACTGCACAGGCCTGGGATCCAATATCTCGAATTCCAATATTCAGTGTAGCGTGCCTACCATCAGAGATGATATACACCAGCTAATCTGACTGCCTACACCAAGTTAGAGTCGATTCTTTTTCTCAAGTGTGTGTTCTGTCACATTCCATTCAAGCAATTTCACAGGATAGGTTGAACAAAGGAATTAGAGCCTTTCATCAGTCCCCTCCCGTCCCATGCCACTCTCTTCTGTTCTCACTTTGGTGAGAACCTTATTGCTACTAATATTCTGTTTATAATAGCATTATCCACTATATTCAGGACTCACTTGGGCCTCTCATGCTGCTTCAATTAAAAACGGGACACCCAGTCAACACACACGAAAAAGTGCTCAGCCTCACTAATCATCAGAGAAATGCAAAATAAAACCACACTGAGATACTACCTAACCCCAGTAAAAATGGCCATCATTAATAAAACAAACAACAACAGATGGTGGCGAGGACACAGAGAAAAAGGAACACTTCTACACTGCTGGTGGGAATGCAAACTAGTGCAACCTCTCTGGAAGATAGTATGGCGATATCTGAAAGAACTAGAAATTGACCTTCCATATGACCTAGCAATTCCCCTTTTGGGAATATACTTGGGGGAACTCAAATCATTCTACAAAAAAGATACCTGCACACAAATGTTTGTTGCAGCTCTATTAACAATAGCAAAAACATGGATGCAGCCATAAAGAAGGACAAATATATGGACTTTGCAGCAAATTGGATGGACTTGGAGTCTATCATACTCAGTGATTTATCACAGAAACAAAGAAC